CAGCCACCGCCAGGAGAAGCAGCATGTGAAGACGCTGGTAAGCCACCAGCCACGTGACAAGGTATAGATTTATAGAAATGGGTTAATTTAAGATAAAAGAACAGTTAGCAAGAAGCCTGCCATGGCCATACAGTTTATAAGTGATATAAGCGTCTGAGTGATTATTTTATACGTGGATTGTGGGACTGTGGGGTTTGGGGAACCTGGAGAGAAGCCCTCCAGCAACAATTGGTGTTGGTTCTTCATTGAAGGCCTGGTAGAATTCTGCACTAAGTCCATCTGGCCTTGGGCTTTTTTTCAGTTGGAAGATTTTTAATTACTGTTTCTCTTCCACTAGGGATATGTATTTAGGGAGGATTAGTGTCTAGAATATATGAAGAACTAAAAATTTCAACATCAATAAAACAAATAACCCAATAAAAACATGGGATCCAGAAATAAACAGAGAGTCCTCAAAAGATGAAATACAAAGGACTGAGAAACTACTTTGAAATTTCATCTTAGGCCAGTCAAGATGGCCAAGATAAAAAAAAACAAATGGCATCAGATGCTGTATGGAGATAGGACAATACTTATTCGTTGCTGGTAGGAATGGAAACTTGTACAGCCACTATGGGAATCAGTATGGAGGCTCCTCAAAAAGATGAAAATTGATCTACTTCAAGATCCACCTATGCCACTCTTGGGCATAAACACAAAAGATTCTACATTTTACTAGAGATACTTGCTCATCCATGTTCATTGCTGCTCTATTCATCATAGCCAGAAATAGGAAACAGCCTAGAAGTCCACCAGCTGGTAGATAGACAATATAAACGTAGTACATTTATACAACAAAATATTATTCAGCTGTTAAGAAAAATGAAATTATAAAATTTGCAGGTAAATGGATGGACTAGAAATAATCATCCTGAGTGATGTAACTGAGAATCAGAAAGACAAATATTGCATGTTTTCTCTTATATGTGGATGTTAGCTTATAAGTTTCAGATATATGTGTTTCAATCAGAATAACCACCCAAGTTAAATAGCTAGCAAGGGACTAGGGTGGAGGATGAGGTAATCTTCTAAGTACCAAAGATAGGGGAAAATGCGTTGTTATAAAGTGATGAAGGGGAAATTAGAATAGAAAGATTAAATGGGGAGGGAGATAGGTGGGCAGGGTAGAGGAAGGAATATGGGAAGAGATAACTGACACTAAAAGTCATTTGAAAAGCCACACAAAACCTACTGCTGTGGAAGCTCCCTAAAATATACACATATATAAATGGAATTTAAATGGAGTTACCATATAATGGGGGAGACAATGTCCCAAATGGACATCGTATGCTACCAAATAAAACCCATAACCAGGAATTGGTTATATCTTTTTGAGTCATTGGCCAAGGCAGCCCCACAGACCACTCCCAAACATGATAAGCTATTGTCAGTGATATTGGTTACCCTCCCCAACCTGATTGTAATACACTATTTCTAAAGACACCACATACTTACAGCATCAACCATGGAGAAATCAAGCTGGTGCTCAGCTAGAACTTTTACCTCTCTTGACTGACATTCGTAGGGCTGGAAGGTATTATAGATGCTATCAGAGGAGAAAAGTAACCATCAATCTCACCCAGCTCTGATCCCTGAGAGCCATAACAGCAATCTGTCTGCAAGGTACACCCACTGGTACATCGGTAGCATGAATGTTGCTGGAGTAACCAACTACCTTTTCATAAGATGTAAGGCCTGCACAATGAGATGGAACCCATGCCTGGCACTGTTAATGAGGTTAAGAACCTGAGACCAGATAGATCATAGGCCTAGGGGGGAAACCTAAATGAACATAACAATAAAATGACTCCCAGTAGCATGTTATTATGTCCATAGATCAGTGCATCATGGAACCCTTGTCAGAGAACTCCTTTCATTAGATGGTAATTAAGTCGGAGACCCACAACTGGACAGTGTGTATAAAGTGAGAGACATGAAATCACTCATCCCTAAATGGAATGTCTATAGAACACCACCCCTCTCAAGGATCAGGGTTGATGTGCAAGAGGAGGCAGAATTTAAATGCCAAAGGTGGTGGATGAGTCCAAGGAAACAGCATTTTCCAGATATAACAAGATTGATGCACATGTGAACTCAGAGGTCGTGACAGTATGCACAAGACTGAACACATGCAAACAGGACAAAATCAAAGTATGGAGAAAGAAAAATGGTCACAAAGTCCCACCCCCCAGCAAAAAGATATTTGCAATTGATAGTTATTGGGAAAGGGAAAATCACTTCTTTTCATGCAGTGACACTGGGCATATCCACCGCACTCTAGGGCATGCCTCATGCTCAGGAATATTTGGACAACACTAAATAGGCTCCATGTCCTCTTTATTATTTTGTTGTGTGTGCTTTTGTTATTAAAGCAAGAGAAAGAAGATGAAGCAGAGTAGACAGAAAAAGGGAGTACAGGGAGGAGTTGGGGAAATAATATGACAAAAGTACATTGAATAAATTTTAAAAATCCAACCATCTGTTATCTCCAGGAAACAATGAATGCAGCACACACACTCCCTTCCCATCTCCATTTGAGTACTATGTGTTGAAGACCAGTCTGGCCACAGCATTAGAAGTAGGGCATGAAGCAGAGAGAGGTGACAGTGTGAAGTTGGTAGTGCTTTCATTAGGTCCTGTGTTCAATCATTTTGCTTCTCAATATAAGAAGAGACACAGTGCCTGTAAAGGAGAGTCTGCCATGAAGCAAGCAAGTCAAGACTCACCGTTTTGGTCTTTATGTAACCAACAGATGATGTTGTGCATGGAAATCTCCCACAAGTCAGAGGTTAAAAAGACATCAAGTATTTCTTGTCTACCCA